GCTGTTGTTCTTAGCTGATGCTTGTGTGCTTTGAATGTTTTGAAAGCGCTAATGAAAATGGAAAATTGAAGTCATTTAAAATGACGTGTTTCTGGTCAATTAGAAAGCACAATGCAGTAATTGTGAGCATACATCAGCGGTAATTTAACATACGTTACGAGTCCTTGGGATCTTTGTCACTGACTGATGATGAAAAGGTTATGCTTTGCAAGTTCCCAAGAAGGCATAAATGCATCTAGTGCAATAAATCACTTTCTTAATCAGTATTTTGTCATGTTTCCGGCAAATAGCATCTTTAAATTAAGATAAATCAGTAAGTAGTTTTCAGTGAATATATCTTAAATTAAATGTATCTTTCTTACCCTGTTTCCAGATTTTGTTGTCATTTTAAGCATAGATTTGACAAAATATGCTTGTGCCTAAAACAGATAAAACAATTAGCCAGTGTGGAAAGAAAACATTATAATCTTTTGCAATGCAGCTTCTCAAAGAAGTTTCTCATTTTAATGGTGTTTAAATGTTTTCACAGAAAAACAACAAAAAAATACTGATTACAGAATTGTTTTGCACTTTTTCATTCACTTATACTCCAACAGAGACCAGCGTAAAATGTTTGTACCTGTCTTGATGGTTTATGTAAGTGAATAGTTCGCCCAAAAATAAATATATCATCATTCCAAACCTGTATGACTTTCTTTTATTCCGCTGAACAGAAAAGTTGCTTTTTTTACCGTTATGTTGGACACTATTTTTCATGTTATGATACAAATATAATAGGGCAAAATGTAAAAAAAACACACAAAAAAACACCATAAAAGTATTTTGAAATCAGTCCATATGACTGTTGTGCTAAATTTCAAGTCTTATGATGCCATATGATAGATTTATATCTATTACTATGTATTACTATTTATATCTATAACTCAAGTGGTTTTTCAATAAAAAAAAATATTGACATCCACTCAATGGAAGCATTCATCACAGTTTGTGAAAAAAGTAGTGATGTCTGATTTGTGATTGAATCATTCTCTTGAGTTTGATTCTTTGATTCAGTTCACAAGAGCAGTCTGAATGATTCAATCACAAATTTAACTGATTCAGCTCTATAAATTTACTTACTAACTTAACAATCCGGTCACAATGATTAAGTCCATTGCATTTTCATTAAATTGTCATTTAATTTCAGGCCGGTTCAGCATTGGAAAGGTATTGCATGACTTGGAATATAGTACATGATTCATATAGACTACTTTAATGTTATTTTAATGATGCTTTTTGTTATCCTCCATAACTTTAAAAACCATCACCCATGATATTCCTCTTGTGCTCAGTAGATGAAAGTCGTGTGGGTTCAAAAAATTGACACATTTTGTTTTTGAGTGAACCATTTTTTTTTTATGATATACCTTGAAATGCCGTCTAATAGCCAGTTTTGTTTATCTGCTCAAGTGTCCGGTTTTACATAGATTGAATAAGTGTCTGTCAGCTGGCTGTGACCAAAAATATCATTATGCTTGCATTTAAGCTCGATAACTCTTCAGAAGATAAGAGTTTCTTGCTGCTCAAAGGATTCCCTTCAGTGGGCTGAAATATGAGAGGAAACTTCAAATAGGAGGAGTGCGAGGTTGAATAATTGAAAATGATGAATGCATAATGCGTTTTAAGCAGAGCAGGATGAAGCCTATATAAAAGATGAAGGTCTCAGAGATTGTGGCCACGGCCACTCCGTACGGGACACTGGATCTGGAAGCAGTTGTTCGAATTCCCGGGACGTAATGCATGCAAAATAAGGTGCCTTTTTGTTAATGCATACCTAGTCCGTTATGTCCATGCTAGATTAAAGCAGACGCCGCGACATGTATTAACATAAATGCGTGATACTTCAAATCTGCACCTGGTAATGACATCCCGCTGGAGTTGGGAAAAGATGGACCGACCCAGTTGATTGTTGGCTGGTTGCTTCAGCAAGAGCATCATTAAAAGTAGTCCGTTCTCACATAGTGCTTTTGAATGCAGCTCGTTTTAGAATAGAAAATATTATACAGTAGCTGCAAGGTAATCAATAATGTAGTTGTGCAACAAAAAGAATGCATTCTTTTGGTGGTGGTGGTGGTTGTTGTTCAGATATCCCCTCAATGTTTTACGCATCTTCAGGGGCGCGGGAAGATGTTTTCGGTTGGGGGTGCTGTGTGTGTCCGTGTTGGGTGAAGGGGGGTTGGGGGGGTTGGTTCACTTATGTCGGTGCTCGTGCTGGGGCTGGTGTTGTTTGGATGCCGATTTTGGAAAGTTTTTGCTGGGATGGGCATTAAAAAAATCTAAAAATTCGCTTTTGCGCCATTATCTCCTTGTATTAAAGTTAATCTTGTTCGCATTCTGTATAGTTCATGTCTGATACCACGCGCCAGCGTCACGTGTTCATGAGGATTAGGCTAATCATCCCATATAGAAAACATCACAAGTAAAATTAATCATGTTTTATAAAAATAAACATGGGTTTATTATAGCCCACTTACAATTTACATTTCAGAGATCATTACAAATAAATTATTAAATGCTAAAACTGAATAAATTTAAATGAACAAACTTGGCGTTGCATTTGCAACCATGTGAAAACAGGGGGTGCTGCAGCCCCCTCAGCACCCCTATTTCCCGCGTCCCTGCGCATCTTTAAAGTCAGCATAAAAAAAAGGTTTTTAAATTGCTCTTTTAAAGCATTTTGGCTTGTCACTCACCATTATTATTATTAATATTATTAGTTTTCTTTATTTTATTTGTTACATAATTTTTGTCAGAGGGCTTTACTTGATTTATTTCTCTAGTGCTGATAAAACATTCAAATGGATTGTGAAAATGTTTCATGTTGAATTCATGTCAAATTTATATCTCCACTCTAAAAATCACTGGGTTAAAAACAACCCAATTTGGGTTGTTATTAACCCAAGGGCTGGGTAAATATAGGACAGAACCCATCTTGGGTTAAATTTACCCAGCAAATTGGGTTGTTTTTTTAACCCAGCATAATGGGTTGATTTAACCCAGCTAATAGGGTTTATTCATTTTTACTATATTACTATCTTATTTTTTACTGCATACATTAAATAATGTTTACTGACTAACTTAAATCCTCTAAACTTTTCTAAAATACTTCACACAACCACTGGTTTGCATGATAACTTCCTTTATTTTATACCGAAGAATGCATCAATTCGATGGTGCTTAGAACTGCTCTCTCATGAAGAGAAGACGCAAGATCCCCGCGATAAATAACTCAACCGTTGGGTTACGTCTGACCCAGGATCTGAGTAACACAAAAACTACCCAAACATTGGGTTATGTCATGTCTGACCCAGGACCGGGTCAAAAACTACCCAAACACTGAAAAAATAACCCAAAAAAATGACCCAAAAGGCTCAACCCAGCATTTGGGTTAAAAAAAGAACCCAGGATTTTTTTAGAGTGTGACTACACTTTATATCTCTTGAGGTGCTCTTAAAATACTATTATTTTATTTTATTTTATTTATTAAATACTATTCATTATTTATTTTATTTTATTTATTAAATATTCATTATTTATTTTATTTTATAATTCTTTACATAATCACACAATTCTTTGTAATCTGTTTTTATTTTTGTAGTTATTTATTTTATTATATATTTATCTTTCCATATCGTTTGGCTCAGAAAGGCCTCGTTTACTTGATTTTGTTTGTTGTGCCTCTGTGCCATGTTTAGTCTTTTTTTCTGAAATCTGTCTTTCAGTTCCGTGCGGAGGAGTTCTGACCACGCGCCGTGGGACCATTCTGTCTCCGGGTTACCCCGATCCCTATGACAACCATCGGAACTGTGTTTGGAAGGTCTTTGTGCCGGAGGGAACTGGAATCCAAGTGAGACAAAACTTTTTTTTTTTTTTTTTTTTAGTGTCATAATAAAACTGAAAAATTTAAAA